AAAAAAATGTGATATTAACCCCGATCGGTCTTGCATTTCTTCGGCCGGTCTTAATTCTTCCTATGTGAATTACACTTATACCCCACAAATTACAATATATATATTTTTTTATTTTCTAGTAAATATTGTGGTCCACAAATTACAAAAACCTTATCTTCTCCCTCCACCCACTTCCCCGCCCAAACCATTTTTCACTTCTCTTGCCTTCCCTCTATCTCTTTTACCGTACATCACTTCTCCCTTTCACCATACAAAAGTATTTGTTTGGTTTAGAATTTGGTATTAATATGATGAATTGAATGTTTATTTGATAAATTGAATGTTTATTTAGTATAAATTTGATGAATTGAATATTAAATGTTATTAGATGAAATTGAATATTAATTTGTTGAATTAATATTAATTTGGTATTGATTTGATAAATTAAATGTTTATTGGATGAAATTGTATGTTACTTTGATGATGATTTGTTAAATTGAACCTTTATTGGATGATTTTTTATGCCAATTTGATAAATTGAGTGTTAATTTAATAAATTTGAATATAAATTAGATGAATTAAATATTAATTTTGTGTTAATTTGATGAATTTAATATTAATTGGATGTGATTGAATGCTAAGTTGATGAATTAAATATTTATTAGATGAAATTGAATGTTGATTTGAAGAATTAAATGTTAATTTGTTATTTATTTGAAAAATTAAATATTTATTGAATGAAATTGCATGTTACTTTGGTGTTAATTTGTTAAATTGAATCTTTATAGGAGGATTTTTGATGTTAATTTTATGTTAATTAAATGAATTTGAATATAAATTGAATGAGAATGAATGTTATGTTGATGAATTAAATATTTATTAGTTGAATTTTAATGTTAGTTTAATGAATTAAATGTTAATTAGGTAAAATTAAATGTTGATTTGAAGAATTGAATATTAATTTGATGTAAATTTGATGAATTGAGTATTAATTAGATAAAATTGCATGTTCATTTTGATGTTGATTTGATAAATTGAATATTTATTGAATGATTTTGGATGTTAATTAACATTCAATTTCATCTAATTAACACCAAATTAAAATTCAATTCATCCAATTTATATTCAAATTCAATCAGTTAACACTTATTTTATCAAATTAACATCCAAAATCATCCAATAAATATTCAATTTATCAAATCAACATCAAAAGTAACATGCAATTTCATTCAATTAATACTCAATTCATCAAATTTACACCAAATTAACATTCAATTATTCAAATCAACATTTAATTTTACCTAATAAACATTTAATTCATTAAACTAATACTAAAATTCAACTAATAAATATTTAATTTATCAACGTAACATTCAATCTCATCCAATTTATATTCAAATTCATTCAGTTAACATTCAATTCATAAAATTAAGATAAAAAATCCTCCAAAAAAGATTTAAATTAACAAATCAACACCAAAGTAACACATAATTTCATCCAATAAACATTATATAAATAAAAAATTAACATTCAATTCTTCAAATCAACATTCAATTTCATCTGGAAAACATTTAATTCATCAACTTAACATTCAATCACATCCAATTAATATTCAATTCATAAAATTTACACAAAATTAACATTTAATTCATCTAATTTATATTCAAATTCATTAAATTAACACTCAATCTATCAAATTAGTATCGAAAATCATCCAATAAAGGTTCAATTTAACAATTCAACATCAAAGTAACATACAATTTCATCCAATGAACATTTAATTCATCAAATCAATACTAAATTAATATTCAATTCAACAAATTAACATTCAATTTCATCTAATAATATTTAATATTCAATTCATCAACTTAATACCAAATCAACATTCATTTTCATANAACAAATTAACATTCAATTTCATCTAATAATATTTAATATTCAATTCATCAACTTAAATACCAAATCAACATTCATTTTCATAAAATAAACATTCAATTCATTATATTAACATCAAATTAAAATTCAATTCATCCAATTAATATTTAATTCATTAAATTAATATTCAATTCATAAAATTAAAATAAAAAATCATCTAATAAAGATTTAATTCATCAAATCAACATTCAATTTAACAAATTAACATTTCATTTCAAATAATAAACATTCAATTTATTAAATTAACATTTAAACTAACTATTTAACATTCAATTCATCAAATTAATACCAAATTAATATTCAATTTTTTAAATCAACACCAAATTAACATTCAATTCATCAAATTAACAGAAAATTAATATTCAATTCATTAAATTCGTATTCAATTCTATTTAATAAATATTTAATTCATCTAATTAACCTAACATTCAATTCCATCCAATAAAATTTTAATTTATTNATTTAATTCATCAAATTAACCTAACATTCAATTCCATCCAATAAAATTTTAATTTATTAAATTAACACTAAATTAACATTCAATTCATCCAATATATATTCAAATTCATCCAATTTACACTCAATTCATCAAATTAACATCTAAAATCATATAATAAAATTCAATTTATCAAACCAACTTCAATGTAATATAAAAATTCATTGAATAAATTTTTAATTCATCTAATCAACACCAAATTAACATTCAATTTCATATAATAAACATTAAATTCATTAAATTAACTATTTAAAATTAAATTCATCAAATTAAGATTCATATTCATCAAATTAATATTTAATTCATCAAATTAACAACAAATTAATATTCAATTGTTCAAATTAACACTAAATTAACTTTCANTCATCTAATCAACACCAAATTAACATTCAATTTCATATAATAAACATTAAATTCATTAAATTAACTATTTAAAATTAAATTCATCAAATTAAGATTCATATTCTTCAAATTAATATTTAATTCATCAAATTAACAACAAATTAATATTCAATTGTTCAAATTAACACTAAATTAACTTTCAATCAAATTCACATTCAATTCCATCTAAAAAATAATTTATTCATCAAATTAACTAAACATTCAATTTAATCAAATAATATTCAATTCATTAAATTAATACTAAATTAACATTCAATTCATCCAATTTATATTAAAAATCATCCAATTAACACTCAATTCATCAAATTAACATCCAAAATCATCTAATAAAATTCAATTTATCAAACAAAAACCAATGTAATATAAAAATTTATCGAATAAACATTTAATTCATCAAATCAACACCAAATTAGCATTCAATTCAACAAATTAACATTTTANCCAATTTATATTAAAAATCATCCAATTAACACTCAATTCATCAAATTAACATCCAAAATCATCTAATAAAATTCAATTTATCAAACCAAAACCAATGTAATATAAAAATTTATTGAATAAACATTTAATTCATCAAATCAACACCAAATTAGCATTCAATTCAACAAATTAACATTTTATTTTCGTATAATAAACATTCAATTCATTAAATTAACACCAAATTAACATTCAATTCATCAAACTAATACCAAATTAACATTCAATTCATTAAACTAACACCAAATTAATATGAATTGTATGAATTGAATATATATTTGGTATTGATTTCATCATTTGAGGATAAATTTGGTGTTAATTTGACGAATGAATATGTATTGGATGAATTTAATGTTAATAGTTGAATTTAAATGTTAATTTTATTAATTGAATGTTTATTAGATGAAATGCAATGTTAATTTAGCTTTGAGTTAATGAATTAAATGTTTATTTGATTAATTTTCATATTGCTTTGGTGTTGATTTGATAAATTAAATTTTTATTGGATTATTTTGGATGTTAATTTTGATAAATTGAGACAGAGACATTCCCGTGGTGAGGGCTAAGGTCAATGACTATAAAACCATTGTTAAATAACTCTCATACGCTGCAATGGAGGAAGGCAAGATTTGACCCTACCCACCAAAGATACTAAGTCAAAAAATGTTGGCTGGCTGGAGCAAATAGCAAATTTTGATGCCCTTCTCTGTATGATCATCTTTTTTATCCACTTGGCTCAACATTCTGTAATGCACTGAATNTGTTGGCTGGCTGGAGCAAATAGCAAATTTTGATGCCCTTCTCTGTATGATCATCTTTTTTATCCACTTGGCTCAACATTCTGTAATGCACTGAATTGCTCAATTTTGCTGTGGGTGTGATTTCAATCTCAATATACAGCTACAAATGATACACAACGAAGAGAGCCTGCAGTGCCAAATGACCAATTCAAACCTTCTAATATTGCAGGAAGTGAATCGAGGTAGCAAGCTAGCCAAGACTATAGTCGTAAAATGATCAACCAGAAAAGATTTTCAGTTTAATACCACAGCCAGCTTGCTCCTTGGATCACGCAAGACGGCCTAGGTTGTAATTTGGCTCTACAAACACAACACAAACCCGACATATGGCAAGCTCCATTGGGGAACTGAGTCTGAACTTGCACATTAAATTTCTGCTGTGCCTGAGTAAAGGGTTTTTTTTTCCGGTAAGAATAAAGAAAGATTCAATAAACCCAATCTGGCCAGTGCTAGTGCACAACTGATATAACTTGGCCATCTCTAATGTATACTCAGAGAGTATTACAAATAGTTGTATATAGTATGCAAGCGTGTTCTTATCAGCTATAAGGGACAAGAAAAGGTCCGCAATTAAACCACAAAATTTTGNATGTTCTTATCAGCTCTAAGGGACAAGAAAAGGTCCCCAATTAAACCGCAAAATTTTGATTTTAATGCATTCAATTCATTGGTGGAAAAATCAGTGGGTGTTGAATGTATTACACCAACTTGGTGGCATTGGAAAAAAAATGGACATCCCTAGAGGAATTTTTACAGCACACTCAAGACAAAAAAGGCAGATGCAGATAGCAAACTGTCAAAAAAACAGTTGGATGGAACCTAAGTCCCACTCTATTCAAAGGTAGCTCTGCTTTAGGAACAGCTTATTTGCTCAATCAAACTCTGTGAAAACAATTTCCCATAAAAACTCTATGAAAATGGTATGTCAGCAACTTCCAATACCTTTTCTCAGTTAAGATGTCATGAGCTGCAGCTAGATTAGGATGCCACCATGTTCAACATCATACAGATTAAAAAAAAGTAAAACCACAATTATCCAAAAGAAAATTTGATAAACCACATAAGTATATTATTTACATCACTTAGAAAGTAAAGTCGATTACTGANTTTTCGATTGCTATATTATCAAATACCAACCTTCTTGTGAAGAAGGCCTTCCTATAGAGATATGATACAGAGGCTAGCACATGCCCAGACATGTGTATGTATATTTAGAAAGTGTTCACAAAAGTGAACATGTCATACCTCATCACTGGGTTCGAAAAGGAGTTCTCCAATGAACTGATAAGTAGACCCAACTCGAAAATTGAGCTTCATGTGCTGGGTGTCAATCTTTAATCTGACATTTCCATCAACAATTACTGCAATTGCAGTCTCAACAGTGTACTCTTGCAGCCTAAGAGGAACATAAGGACAATTAAGCTTCTCAAAGAGTACACACAGCATTTTATTGATGGCCTTTTGGTAGAGCACAATGAGCTTTATTATACATGTTACAATTGAAAGCTTACATTGATTCTATATCCATTGATCATGTTCAGATAACCAAAAGTTATTAGTTAAGAGAACCAAAGCATGAACGGGGGGGCATAGATGAGTGGAACTCAATGACTTCCATCAAGATAATAAAGCCTAACAAAATAACCTGTTTATTTACCATCTCCTATTCCTCACAACTAACAGTTTAAAAGAAATAAAGATATAATTCCAGTAAAAATTACCCACTTTCCTGTCACTCTAAGCGAAGCACCTTGCTTGAAGTGTGGAGAAGAGGAGCTTAGTTCTTCCAGAGAAACCAGGGCACCAGAGCTTATTGTAGATGATGCCATTGGAGCACCAATTACTAGCAGAAAAGATAGAGATTACAATTCTCCTGCAAATTATAAAATGCAACAATCAAAGAAAGAACAAGAAGGTTACATTCAAAAAACTGCAGCTAATCTCCTTCAGGTCCATGCAATAAACAATTATTTAGTTGCAGCAGTCCAAAAAGGTCGAGCACCAGCCATTCATTGTCCCACCCTTTTCCCAACACACACGTAAAATGCAAGACTGCTTGAGACATCTATATTCGTTTTTTGATGCCCAAACTAGTCACAGGATTGCATGATTTGAATTTTAATCAGTATAACTGTATGCAACCAAGAGAAAGACCATAGATTTGAAAAAGATGCAGGTGCACACAATCAGCAGTTTGATAACCAAACTAAATCACAGTTATCCAGCTTCGCTTTGGTAATTGAACATAGAACTCTAAAAGAGTGTTCCCCATTTTGGCAGTTTTTCCTAATCTTAACTTAGTGAAACCTAAATACAGTATCAGTTCAGTAACCAAGAACCTAACAGAGCCCCACAGCAGTCATATACTATCTTTGGTGTGAGATAAATTCCAGGTGCCATGAAGGGAGGTCTCCGACTTGCTTAGTCTCCCTCAATCACTACAAACGCCCCTATAAAGTGAGATCTCTCCCCTTAAAATTTCACTAGAGCTAGGGATGAAGGAGAAAATATTCAATTGAACGGTGATACTACATTAGCATTGTTACATGACATCACCATCTAATAATATGTTGACAAATAAGTAAGTGGACCCCCACACAAATCATTAAGTATCTCCTCTCCCTCCGTGTAAAACAACAACCACCCAGAAAGCAGTTTACCCGCTTGATGTTTTATTATTAGTTGCACCGTTGCACTCCATATTTACTCCACAATAAGAATAAGAGCAACACAGACTTAGATGCTTGACTAAAGTGTGACCCATTAGTCCACAAAAGAGTTTAGTCCAGTGCCAGATATGGCTCTGTCGAACATTCCTTTGTCACGAGCCATTGACAGCTGCACGTAAGTACTGTGACAAAGCAGCTTGTGTATTTAAAAAAATAGAGCAAAAAGGTATCACAGAACAAATTTTAACATTGGAAATTTGAAACCAACACCAATAACACATTCGACATGAATTTTTTAATCTCGGTCATAATTCCAATATATATGTAATATCCGAACCACTTGACGGCACCATTGGGGAAAAGAAACACAGATTTAGATTTCAATGAGGGACATGAACTTAATTTGAAGCGAAAGGAAGAGGGAAAAAAAATGAAACCCTCATACAGATGGTAACTAAATAAGCAGAAGCAGAGCTACTCTTCGTTGATCTCTATGGTGGTGCCATTCCGCTGGTGCTTGGTGACCGGTGAGCATAGTTTTAAAACCCGGCCCAAACACCAACTTGACAAAAAGACTGGGTCAATGGGTCACTGGTCCATCCGGTAAATATAATAAAAAAATAAAAAATAATTATAAATACTAAAAAATAGGCTAAAAAATCACAATAATTATAAAAATAACATCAACCATGTAAAGTTAAGTAGAACATCAAACATGTATCCAATTTCAATGTATTCACTTTTCAATACAACTTGTAAAGTTAAGTAGAGAAAAATAACTCTATTGAAATTCAAGGTTCCAAGTCTATGTCCAACTCTTCGACAATGCATCCCAACAGTCTAAGATATAAGACAATAAATAAAGTATAAATCCCAACAAATGAAAATAATAGAGCTCATATGAGAATTTATGCAGTGCAATCAAACAAGGAGAATTTCACAATCTCTAAACTCTAAAATGTATGCAGTAATCAACCACAAGCTCACACCAGTAATCAACCACAAGTAATTTCACTATGGTTTGTGGTTTAACTACTTCACCAGAAACGAGCCATTTTTGGTGGGCATAATTTTAGCAAAGCTGTAGAATTCGATTAATAAACAAAAAAATTTCAAGAGGACCCAGAATTGGCAATCATTCATTCTCATAATTTACAAGCACTTGTTCAGACAAACAGTTGCAGCTTATTTTAAAAGACAATAGCTTCTGCAAATCAAATTGCATCACAGCTAGTAAAAATGTAAAATAATCAAACTCTTATTCAAAATTCTGCAAATCAGATTGCATCATAACTAGTAAAATTATCAAAATTGCATTATAACTCATATTCTAAAATATAGCGACTGATTACAGTCACTGAACGAGGGAGAGAGATAGAGAGTAGACCTGCTGCTTGATGCGAGTCGATGATGGTCACTCTGTGGACTGTGGAGGACTCGATGGTCACTCGGTGGAGCTTTGATCTGATGGATGGAGGACTCGATGGAGCTTCGTGGACTGGTGGAGGACTCGAGCTTGCTGTTCACAGCAGAGACTCAGAGAGAGAGAGACTGAGGACAGAGTTACTGCTGTAAGTCTGTAACTGTAAAAGAGAAAAAGAGAGAGAAAGAAAAAGAGAAAGAGAGAGAGAGAGAGAGGTAAACTCACCTTGTCACTGTTCTGTCCACAATCTCTAGCTATTGGTGCTATCGATGGTCACTGGAGTCGATCCTAACTGGTTGCTGGAAGCTGGACTGGAGTCGCTGCTGCTGGAGTGTGGAGTCGCTGTTTCCTGCTGGTGCTGAAGGCTGGACAGGATAATGGAATCACCGGTGGAGGCTACCTTCTCGTCTGGTCTGGACTCTGGAGCGATTTAGGGCAAAACAAAAAGGGCAAATATACAAAATGCCCAAAAAGTGCAATAAATCTTATATTTATACAATTTAATTAACCCGTCAGGTTTGAATCAATTCTCCCGGTTCGAACGGGTTCACCGGTTTTTACCGGTTCAACGGTTTGATCCCGGTTTTTAAGCACAAACAGTTTTTATGAGAACCAGTCCGGTTTGAGCACCGGTTCGCCGGTTCACCGGGTCAATCCGTCAGGCCGAGCCAAGTTTTAAAACACTGGGGAGATCAACTCAGATAAAGAAAGTGATCGATCTCGTTTTTGAAGGGAATTGTTTTTTTTTTCCCTCCTTTTTTTTTTCTAGTCGTCATTTTCTCTTATTATTTTTTTTTTATAAAAAAATTGTATTATTTTTCTCCCCAAACATCCATTAAGTGCTATCATTTTTAGTTTATATCAATGAAGTCCAAATCTTGATATTTTCTCTCAATTAATAATATTTTTTTGAGAATGGATCAGTTATCATACATTTTTATATGAGTTTTACTTATTTTTTTTTATAAATAATGGTGAGTTTTTAGTGAAGCTATAGACATATGCATGCTCAATGTTTGTTTAGGTATTAGTATTTACTCTAATTGCGATTCTAAAATCACAAAATACTAGAGTTTTTGTCGTGAAACACTTGTTCATCGAGAATACACATGGATCTTATTGCATCTCATAATGACAATTTTAAAATTTTTTAGTAATTAGATTTTTCTTAAAAATATCAAGTAGACAATACATAATTTAAAACACAAGAAATTAAGATATGTATGAATAGAGGACGAATAATGTTATTGGTGTCAATATTTGTCAAGAAAGGGATAAAATTGGAACAAAATATAGTCTTTATGAAATTTAGAAATTCATTGAGATAAAATATCAATATTAAGATTTCATTTATATTAAAAAAAAATGATAGGACTTAATGGATGTTTGTGGGGAAAAAGTAATACTTATTGGTAATTTTTCCTTTCTCTCTTTTTTTCCTCTTCTTATGAGAAATTTAAAGGAGAATCACATTTTATACCCTAAAAGATTCAAGTATTTTTATTTTATACCCATAAATATTATTTTTATTTATTGTACCTTCATTGTATTTTTCATTGCATTAGAGTATTACGATGTGACATTTTTGTTAATTTTTATTATTTATTTCGTCAAAAATTATCCCATTAATATTAATAGAATGATTAATAAAAACTAATGAAAAAATTATATTATAATACTTTTATTACATTAATGGTACTCCTTGCCTTGTGAAAGTTTTGTCTTCTTGAGGTCAAGGGCTCAAGTCCCCCTCCTCCCTCCCCTCCCAAAAAAAAAAAAATATAGAAAATTTAGTGCTTGAGAGTACAAAGTGGGAATTTTGAAATTTTTTGAGGTACAAAGTAAAATTCATCCAAATTTAAAAGGACAAATTAGATTTTTCTCTTGTATCCGTAGGCTCGCTTTGGACTATATGAATTATATTATACGAAGAGTTCCAAAAAAACAAAAGGGTGTTTTGTACTTTGTACCTTAAAAGATTTCAAAATTTTTAATTTATACCTCCAGAGATTATATTTTTTACATTAGATCCTCAATGTATCAAAAGTGTTTTGTAATGTAACTTTTCTGTTAACTTCCGTTATTTTTCTGTCAAAAACTAACCCATTGATACTAAAAAAAACACTAACAGAAAACTAACAGAAAAATCACATTTCAATACTTTTGATACAATAAGAGTGTAATGTAAAAAATTTAATCTTTGAGATACAAAATAAAATTTTTAAGATCTTTCAGGATGCAAAATACAATTCACCCAAAACAGAATTATGTTATACGAACATAATTTCATTATATGCACTAATATTCTTTTATTGCTTTTGCTAAAGGGTTTCATTAAAAGCATTTACCATTGTATAGTTTCGCCTCAGCAAACTTTTCATGCCTCAGGCAAATTTGCATGCTACTACCAGATGCTAAAGCTAAAAATACCCAAGAGCATACAGAAAACTTGAGAAGATCTAAATAAAAATACTAAAAAAATAAAAAAATTGATGAAATTTTAACACGTCAGCTCAGATAAACAACAAGTACTACCGGAGAGGTAAATGGTAAACGACAGAACAAATGACTTATACAATATGATTTACTTGAAATATATGTTACATAAGTTCTCAGGAAGGATATCATCCTCTGTTGATGAAATTTCCAACGTACAATTGAAAAGTTCTGTTTCCTAATGTAAAGAGGAAAAAATTTCGTGGCTGTTTTGGATATTTATCTTTTTCATTTCAATATCAACCCTGCTTGATGACAAAATACAGTCACTGTGAAACAGTTTCTCTTTCTTTTTCCTCCTGTGTTTCAGTTTCTTTCTTGGGGTTTACCCCATCCTCCACCAAAAAATAAAACACATACCCCACATACACACATTAGCACTTTCTCCCCATCTCAAAGTGGAAAAAGGAATTTTTACCTCTTGAAGCAGGAAATTTGCATGAGCTAGATAGCTGGTAGTAAAACATGGGATAGTCTATAAAAGTCATACTCAATGAAACACCTGAGCTGATGCATAGTACTCGCTTTCATTGAACACGGTTCTTAAATCTTCTTTGCACATAAACTGCAACGGGAAAGAAACAAGATGCCCCTTCACTGACTCTAATCTCTCCATTGGATCAGTGCCCTTGGTATCTCCATCTTGATAGGATTCGAGCTTCTCAGGGGCTATTCCTAAGTCTATAGTAGTGTGTCCAATTTTTTTCCTTCCAGGAGGTCATGCATTGTCTGAGTGATGCTCTGCATGCCATTATAAAAATTCTTACACATCAGAAACTAGGACAAAAACAAAAAATATAAGAGGAAGATGGCAGTTGGATCATTCCGGGAATGTATGAGATCGTTGGGAATGCAAGAAAAGACATCTTGGTAGATCATGGTATTTGTCTGTGAATAAAACAACAGTTTTTCATTGTTAGTTGGCGGAAAATTAAAAGCAAAAGATGAATACAAAATAGGTTGCACACAAAACAGTTTATTTTAGAACTCGAATGATGATGAAGAAATCTATATTGCACAAGAACCTCAATAACAACCCCACCCAAATCAAAAACAAAAAAAACGAAAAATTGCTTTTACATTCATCAGAATCTCAAAAGGCTTGATTTTTTGTCACCAACTCTTGTGGGGAAAATGCAAATGGTAATTTCAATAAGCTGTGGAGTACAATAACTCCTTTTAGTCCTCACCTTTGCGGTTGCCATCCATATATCTTTGTACGTTGTGTCCACCACTTGTTCATTTATTAGACTAATCTGGAAAATTGGGAGGAAAGTGTTAGAGCTTGTCCAACATGGATAAAATAATGCCCTCCCAAACTAGTATATGGGCCTTAGGAAATTTTTCTCAACTGCTTCCCACAAACCAAGCCTTGTTTATTTAGAGTTTTGGTTGTGTAGTGCTTAAATAAACAGAAGCCTTTCAACATTTAGTAGATTCACAAACCTCTCCACCACGAAGACCAAGGTGTTCAGACCATTGTGATTGGCGAAGGCTCAAAGCAAATTTCCCGTCTTCCATGGCTTGCCCCCCATAGATGAATTGACGAATT